CCACATATGAGTGACAACATATGACATCTGTCTTTGACTGACTTATTTCACTTAGCATAATGCCCTCCAGTTCCATCCACATTGTTGCAAATGGCCAGACTTCATTTTTTTCTCATTGCCAGGTAACATTCCATTGTATATATAAACCACATCTTCTTTACCTATTCATCAGTTGATGGACATTTGGGCTCTTTCTATAATTTGGCTATTGTTGAAAGTGCTGCTATAAACATTGGGTCTTTTGTGGTTCCATTCAAATTTTAGGATTGTTTGTTCTAGTTCTGGGAAGAATGCCGGTGCAATTTTGATTGGGATTGCATTGAATGTGTAGATTGCTTTGGGTAGTATTGACATTTTAACAATGTTAGTTCTTCCAATCCATGAACATGGAATATTTTTCTATTTCTTTGTGCCTTCTTCAATTTCTTTCATGAGTTTTCTATAGTTTTCAGCATACAGATCTTTTACATCTTCGGTTAGATTTATTCCTAGGTATTTTATGGTTCTTGGTGCAATTGTAAATGGGATCGATTTCTTGATTTCTCTTTCTGTTGCTTCATTATTGGTGTATAGAACTACAAACAATTTCTGTACATTGATTTTTTTTATCCAGCAACTTTGCTGAATTCATGCGTCAGTTCTAGCAGCTTTTTGGTGGAGTCTTTCAGGTTTTCCATTTAGAGCATCATGTCATCTGCGAAAAGTAAAGTTTGACTTCTTTGCCAATTTGGATGCTTTTATTTCATTTGTTGTCTGATTGCTGAGGCTAGGACTTCCAGCAATATGTTAAACAACAGTGGTGAGAGTGGACATCCCTGTCGTGTTCCTGATCTCAGGGGGCGAGCTCTCAGTTTTTCCCCATTGAGGATGATATTAGTTGTAGCTTTTCATATATTGCTCTTATGATGTTTAAGCATGTTCCCTCTATCCTGACTTTCTTGAGGGTTTAATTAAGAAGGGATGCTGTATTTTGCCCAATGCTTTTTTTTGCATCTATTAACAGGATCATATGGCTCTTATCCTTTCTCCTAGTAATATGATGCATTGCACTGATTGATTCGCAAATATTGACCAGCCCTGCAGCCCAGGAATGAATCCCACTTGATCATGGTGAATAATTCTTTTAATATACAGTGGATTGCCTTATGCTAGTATCTTGTTGGGAATTTTTGCATCCATGTTCATCGGGGATATTGGCCTATAATTCTCCTTTTTAGTGGGATCTCTGTCTGGTTTGGGAACCAAAGTAATGCTGGCTTCATAGAATGAGTCTGGAAGTTGTCCTTCCATTTCTATTTTTTGAAACCGCTTGAGAAGGATAGGTATTAACTCTACTTTAAATGTCTGGTAGAATTCCCCTGGGAAGCCATCTGGTCCAGGACTCTTATTTGTTGGGAAATTTTTGATAATTGATTCAATTTCTTCACTGGTTATGGGTCTGTTCAAAATTTCTATGTCTTTCCATTTGAGATTTGGTAGTGTGTGGGTGTCTAGGAATTTGTCTATTTCTTCCAGATTGTCCAGTTTGTTGGCATATAATTTTTCATAGTATTTTTAAATTTTTTTTGTATTTCTGTGGTGTTGGTTGTGATCTCTCCTCTTTCATTGATGATTTTATCTATTTGGGCTCTCTCTCTTTTCTTTTTGAGAAATCTGGCTAGGCGTTTATCAATTTTGTTTATTTTTTCAAAACAAACAGCTCTTAGGGGCGCCTGGGTGGCGCAGTCGGTTAAGCGTCTGACTTCAGCCAGGTCACGATCTCGCGGTCCGTGAGTTCGAGCCCCGCCTTGGGCTCTGGGCTGATGGCTCAGAGCCTGGAGCCTGTTTCTGATTCTGTGTCTCCCTCTCTCTCTGCCCCTCCCCCGTTCATGCTCTGTCTCTCTCTGTCCCAAAAAAATAAATAAACGTTAAAAACAAATTAAAAAAAAAACAAACAGCTCTTAGATTCATTGATCTGTCCTATTTTTTTTAGATTTTATATTATTTATTTCTGCTCTAATCTTTATTATATCTCTTCTTCTGCTGACTTTGGGCTTTCTTTGCTGTTCTGCTTCTAGTTCCTTTAGGTGTGTGGTTAGGTTTTGTTTTTGGGATTTTTCTTGTTTCTTGAGGTAGGCCTGGATTACAGTGTATTTTCCTATTCAGACTGCCTTTGCTGCATCCCAAAGGGTTTGGACTGTCATGTTTTCATTTTCAGTTGCTTCCATATATTCTTCAATTTCTTCTTTAATTTCCTGGTTGACCCATTCATTCTTTAGTAGTATGTTCTTTAACCTCCATGCATTTGGAGGCTTTCCAAATTTTTTTGTAGTTGATTTCAAGTTTCATAGTGTTGTGATCTGAAAATATGCATGGTATGATCTCAATTCTTTTATATTTATTGAGGGCTTTTTTTTGACTCAATGTGTGATCTATCTTGGAGAATGTTCCATGTGCACTTGAGAAGAATGGGTATTCTGCTGCTTTTGAATGAAAAGTTCTGAATATATCTGTCAAGTATTTCTGGTCCAGTGTATCATTCAGGGCCATTGTTTCTTCATTGATTTTCTGCCTAGATGATCTGTCCATTGTTGTAAGTGAAGTATTAAAATCCCTGAAATTACTGTATTCTTTTTTTTTCAGTATATGAAACTTATTGTCAAATTGGTTTCCATACAACACCCAGTGCTCATCCCAAAAGGTGCCCTCCTCAATACCCATCACCCACCCTCCCCTCCCTCCCATCTCCCATCAACCCTCAGTTTGTTCTCAGTTTTTAACAGTCTCTTATGCTTTGGCTCTCTCCTATTCTAACATCTTTTTGAAATTACTGTATTCTTATCAATAAGATTTGCTTATGTTTGTGATTACTTGATTTATATATTTGGGTGTTTCAAGTTGGGGGGCCTAAACATTTATAATTGTTAGCTTTTCTTGATGGATAGACCTTGTAATTATGATATAATGCCCTTCTTCATCTCTTGTTATAGACTTTAGTTTAAAATCTAGTTTGTCTGATATAAGTATGGCTACTCCAGCTTTCTTTTGATTTCCAGTAGCATGATAGATGGTTCTCCATCCCCTCACTTTCAATCTGAAGGTGTCCTCAGGTCTAAAATGAGTCTCTTGTAAACTGCATATAGATGGATCATGTTTTTTTTTTACCCATTCTGATACTGAATGTCTTTGGATTGGAGCATTTAGTCCATTTACATTCAGAGTTATTGAAAGATATGGATTTAGTGTCATTGTGTTATCTCTAGGTTTCATGCTTGTGGTGATGTCTCTGGTCCTTTGTAGTCCTTGCAGCATTCTACTCACAGAGTCCCCCTTAGGATCTCTTGTAGGGCTGGTTTAGTGCCCATGAACGCCTTCAGTTTTCATTTGTCTGGGAAAACTTATATCTTTTACTATTCTGAATGACACCCTTGCTGGTTAAAGGAATCTTGGTTGTACATCTTTTGTATTCAGCACATTGATTATTTCTTGCCACTCCCTTCTGGCCTACCAAGTTTCAGTAGACAGGTCTGCTACTACCCTTATGCATCTATCCTTGTAGGTTAAGGCTTGTTTGTCCCTAGCTGCTTTCAGAATTCTCTCTTAATCTTTGTATTTTGTCAGTTTCACTATGCTATGCCATGGTGAAGACCTATTCTTACTGAATATGAAGGCAGTTCTCTGTGCCTCCTGGATTTGGATGTCTGCTTCCTTCTCCAGATTAGGAATGTTCTCAGCTATAATTTATTCAAGGAAACCTTCTGCTCTTTTCTCTCTCTCTTATTCTTCTGGAACTCCTATGATACAGATATGATTACATTTAACTGAATCACTTAGTTCTCTAATTCTCCCCTTGTGGTCCAGTATTTTCTTATCTCTCTTTCTCAGCTTCGTCATTTTCCATAATTTTATCTTCTATTTCACCTATTCTCCTCTCTGCTTCCTCTATGCTTGCTGTAACTCAATCTAGTTTATTTTGCACCTCACTTACAACATTTCTTCATTCATCATGACTTACTTATTTGTTCCTTGATAGGAACAATTAAACATTGTAGCCTTATATTTCAAAATTTACTATATTCACTCACATATTTTCTGTAAACTTAAAAATATTTTGCCCAGTTCTAACAAAATGCCATGGAATTTTTTATTTTGACAGCATTAAAACTATATATTTATTGGGGCACCTGTGGTTCAGTCAGTTAAGTGTCTGACTCAATCTAGGTTTAGGTCATGATCTCACCATTAATGAGACTGATCTCTACATCCGGCTCTGCATTGACAGTGAGGAGCCTGCTTGGGATTATCTCCCTCACTCGCTCTCTACCCTTCCCCTGCTCACTTGCATGTGCTTGCAGCTTGCTCTTTTTCTCTCTGTCTGTCTCAAAATAAATAAATTAAAAAAAAAAAACTAAAAATTTATTTAGGTAGAACAGATTATCAGAAATATTAAATTCATATTTCCCAAATTGTATACTTTTCTTTAAATTATTTTATAATTCTTTTCCTCTACTATGCACACACAAATGCATGTATATGATTTTTCTAATTTCTTTATCTCACTAAAAGGCAGTCAATTTCCTTAGGAAATTATTCAAAACTTTTCAACAATTATATTGGTTATTTTTACACCATTTTTCTTTAGGGAGCTTGTTGTGAAAAATATATTATTGTATTAATTGTTTTTTTCTTTTTGAGCTTTTACTTTTGTTTCAAAATCTAAAAAAATTTTAAAAACTCAACATTTTTTGTTCATTTTATTTTAAACAATAAAATATCATTAAATATAGATTTTCAGATGGCTTAACTTTACAAAAATTATACAGTTATATGAATAAATTGATTTTATCCTTTTCTTGATAAGGTTATAAATATTAATTGCCTTATGATATCATAACATATATATGCCTGTGTATTTGATGAATCACAACACAAATGACTTTCATATGTAGGGCCCAGATTCCTATATTAATTGCAGTTATTTTTGTAGACCAAAATATCTAATGTTGTTATTTATGTTTTAGGTTAGTGGGATGGTTTGGCCATGAACTCAGCACCAGATTTAAGATGGATAACAGTAAGTGTATTCAGTTTCACTTCACAAGTCATTTTATTTTACCTTTATTTCAATTTTCATCTGTCTTTGTATGGCATGTAATATACATGCCTCATGGAGAGTGCACTTTGAAAATGCCACTGAGAATTCTTAAAATAAGAAATGACATTTCCAGAGTGTAAGACTAAGTGTTTGTAGATTTTAGCATCATTTTGAGTCTATCCCTCTGTAGGGAAGTAAGTGGAAATGAGCTGTAATGTATAGGATTCATATCTCATCAATATTGAGTACCCAGAACATCAGGAAGTGAGAGCAGGAAAGAATTTTTGGCTTGTAGTCAGGCCCAGAGAGACTTGGATGTCAATTCTACTTTGCTGCTTAATAATTTTGTGATGCTGCACAAATTATAACTTCTTGGGATTTTTTTGTTTTTTGTTTTATTTTCCTTCTTGCATATCTAATGTGAATAATAATATCCAATTCAGGGGTTGGTTTGAGGGTAAGACAAGTTCAAAGCTGTAAACCAAGCAGCACATAGTAGTGCTATTTAATAAATGTTCACTTTATGTCTCTCTTTTTCCAATTTTTCTTCCTTCTGTGGCTTTTGCCACACACGAAACAATGGCAGTTGAACCCCAGCAGGTAGAAATGAAATTTCAACACGTGCAGGGTTCTCCCAAACTGCCCTGCTTCTTTTTCCTGAGTGACTCCCGTCTTCAATCATGTGGGATACAGAAAGCTTCATAAGCGTTTTGAGAGTCTTCAGTTCAACTTGATCCTTCAGACTACTACTAACCTGAGTTACTATTTTAAATATATTCATATTTGCAAAAACCAAGATGCAAAAGATCAAGATGGGCTCTTCCAGTCAAATCAAGAAACGTGCATTGTATCTTGGCTGCTGGAATAGTTAGCTCTGTTATGTCTGTTGCCTACACTCTTTGTGTTGGCTTTTCTTATCTGTAAATGGGAGAATTGGACTAGATCGAGAGTGGGGAAAGTTTCTCTGTGAAGGGCCAGAGAGGAGACATTTTAAGTTTTGGGGGCTATACTGTCTCTGTGGCAAATGTTCAGTTCTGCCATTGTAGTGCTAAAGCAGTCATAGACATACATAAATGAATGAATGTGGCTACATGTTCCAATGAAACTTTATTTACAAAAACAAGTCAAGGGCCACATTTGGTCCTCAGTACATAGCTTGTTGAGCCCTGGATTAGATGCATCTCTAAAGACCTAGAATATTCTAATGCTCTTTTAGTCAGTTTTAGCTTTAATTTGATCTCCAACGAGCAGTCTTAACGCTATTGGACTTAACTTGCTACTATTCAATCTAATTGATTCTAATTAGGATAATACCTGCTATTAAATTACCTTTTAAATGTATCATACTTAGGCAGATCATTTTTTTAAAAGCCTTTTTATTATTATTTTTTTTTCCCTAGGAGAAGCCACTTGACCTAATAATACTAGTGCTAGAAGTCACCTTCATAGGTCATTTAATTTATATTCCTGCCTTTGGATGACATTACAATTACAAACTATTAAAATTTTGATTTTTTTCCTCTCACTGATACGGTTTCATAGTAGAAAAGCAAAGCATGGGGCAGGTTAAGGAATGCTGGCTTGGGAGTGTGGAAGGACAGAGAATGAGGTACAGAAAATCTTCTTTAAGAGGTCATTTTTATATCTCTAAGGGCTCTAGTATTTGGTAGGCTGCTAAGAAAGTGGGGCAGGGGAGAGAGACATTGCAAGTGAAGGGGAAATATGCCAGTATTCTAGGTCCACAGAGTTTCTCTTAAATATCTCAGAAATCTTAGAAATAAAAGTTTTTAAATCTTATTCTTCTCTCTACTATAGTGTCATAAAAAATCCATGAAGGACACTTTTCAAGGTACATTCTATAAAAATGACATGATGTTAATTTTTCAGAACTGCAATTAATCCCTGGGGTTAGTGGATTTCGAATTTCAAATCCTCCCATTTTGTTGGTCTGTTCCTTACATGCTAGTTTAGAGGTAAGTGAACTATGCTTTACCCTTCTCATATCTTTACCTTTTTCTTTACCTGACTGTGACATGTTGTAGGACCTTCTCTGCTAAAGAGCAAGATTAATGTTCATTATGTATAAACAATGGTCAAAAGCTGGTATTCTCCTTTAGGACAATGACTCTGTGCTAACTGACATCTCTTATCTATGTGTCCAGCCCCAGCACTGTGCTTGGTACATAATAAATGTTGTTGGCACTTAATAAATGTTAATTGGAACTGATTTGGGGATACATATTTTTAGTTCCTCTTAGAATTTGTGTGACCTTAAAGAATTTGCTTAATCTTCTCTTGGTGTCTCTGTGACAAAATAAGCACGCAATATTTAGTTCTTGATTATTTCACTCATTCAACATTTACTTATTAGGAAAGTATTATGTGCCAGATATTGTTGTGATTACTGGAGACGCTGTTTCTTCTGGTTCTGTGAGTCAACGAACTCACCAAGTGCCATATGATAGAACTATAGGAAGACATACTTTAAGGAAAAAAATACAAATAATCCGAGTAAACCAAAGAATGAGAAAGGTTGTCTCATAAGTTAAATGGATTTCTTTTTTTTTACTGGAGTGTTTATTCCATCATAACTTGTATAATCTCTCTACTGTTAGTAGCTCAATATATATTTTTTAGTAAATGAATGTTTTTAGTTAAAATAACATTAGTTTCACCCTAAATAATAATATCCAAAGAATCAATTTGGTTTCCAATATTTATATCTACCTTTCCATCTATTTATATAGATATATAGATACCTACCTTGTCCTTTTATATCTATATTATATTCATATCCATATCAATATAGCTTAATTATTTGATATTAATTAATTTCAGAATGAGACTAACTTGGGACACCTGGGTGGTTCAGTTGATTAAGCATCTGACTTTGGCTCATCTGATCTCACAGCTGGTTCTTTTGAACCCCGTGTAGGCCTTTGGCTGACAGATCAGTGCCTGGAGCCTGCTACGGATTCTGTGTCTCCCTCTCTCTGCCTCTCCCCTGCTTATGCTCTGTCTGTGTCTCTCTCTCTAAAAAATAAATAAAACATTTTAAAAAATTAAATAAAAAGAATGAGACTAAATTTATTTAAGGAAATATATATTGTAAATAATTATATCCTATATAATTAATAATAACATCAATACACATATTAAGTAAATATACTTATATACATACATTAAAGTAAAATATATTTTAGCTAAATGTGTTTTTTTTCTAACAGAGATTTTAAATATATAGGTATTCAAAAAAGAATTTGACTTATTAAATTTAAAGTCTTTTAAAATCATCTGGTTTTTGATATTTTATGAAATTCTATTGTGGAGTGTTCCAGGATGAATGACTAGATAAAGACTTCCAAAATCTCTAAACCTAAATTTTAGGATTCTGCGAACACATATAGCAGTTTCTCACTTTGGCCACTGGATGGCAATGTAAAGCACTTTTTTTTTTAATAGAATTTCACCACTGATAGTGGTAATCAACTCATTTCACTTCATCTCAATTTAAAGACCATCTACTCAATGTGGCCACTAGATGGAGCTTGTGTTGTTTTCACTTTTTGGCAGATTTTTTTTTTTTTTAAAACTGAAAATAGACCCAGTAACAAGATTTTTCAGCCAGTGGGAAAAAAAGTTTTTAAAAATTTTTGGGGGTGAGGAGGGATAGAATCTGCTTAGCAAGTCAGATAATGGTATTTGAATTATTTTTATAATATCTATTCAGAGAAAACTTCTGTTAAACGTTTTAAAATGATACACAGTTTTTCTCACTTTGCAAGTTTGTCTCAGGGAGAAGGTGAGTTACCATAGGAAAAGCACCGAGGTGTACCTTAGGAAGAACTGGTACTTGACGTTTTGTCCTCTGATTTTCCTTACCTTTGCAAATGAGTTCTCAGCCAGATCTGGAAATTTTCTTTTAGACACTCTAACTTTGGTATGTTTTCGCAGTGGGTGGTGTCAAGTACTTACCCCTTCTGCCATGAAAAAGAAGTCACATTCTCAATTTTCCTGCCACTAGTCCCCTAGGCTAGGCTTGAATGATAAAAAGCTTGGAAGTATTTATCACCGTATTACGCTGTATTGTAGCCACCTAGACAAGGTTTTTATTTTCAGCTGGAATCTGAAGATTGATTGAGTTTTTTTTTTTCTTTATCATCTAAACAAATAACAAAAGGATCCCAAAGGCCACAAGAGTGGATATGTACTTCTCTTACCGCTTAAGTATTTTTCTGGAGCCTCTTAGAAGTATCTTAAGTAAATGGTGCTTGGTGGCTCAGTTGGTTAAAGTGTCTGATCTTGATTTCAGCTCAGGTCATGATCTCAGGTTGGTGGGATGGAGCCCAGTGCCAGGCTCTGCACTGTCAGCCTGGAGCCTGCTTGGGATTTTTTCTCTCCCTCTCTCTCTGCCCCTCCCCTGCTCATGCTCTCTCTGTTGCTCAAAATAAATAAATAAAAACTAAAAAAGAAAAAAGAAAGAAATACTGTACTTAAGCTATTCACTGCTAAGCCTACATTCTAACCAAAATTATCATTAGGTAAGCAAAAGTTGTGTTGAAGAAAGTGTTGAAATTTTTCCTCCCCATCATAAATTGCAAAATTCTGAAGTTACAAAACAATGCATGTCATTCTTCTTATTCTTTACCTAACTGTTAAAATGTTCTACTCCCTCGATGCCAAGTGGGTAAGCATCGGTGTAGCAATCATATTGCTACTGTGCTTAAGTTATTGCATTGAAAGAGATAGGTGATTGAAAAAGTTTGAATCAATGAGAGAAATATGCATGAATCACAGTGCCTGTCTTTGTTGTAGCTACTTCTCTTTCAAAAAATATTCTGCATAGTCAAATACCAATTAGAGGAGAGATTCTAAACTTAAGAATCAGTGTACATGGATGGATATGATCTCAGTTTTGCAACACAGTGATTTTTTACAAGTATTAATATGGTTTTGTTTATAATGACATGTGCCTCCAGTTGATTGATAACATGAAAAATAGCACCTTGTAATCAATTTCAAACTGTCCTTTGTTTATATTAGTGGCTCTTAATCATTTGTATTATATATTTATATGGTACAAATGCATATGGTAAAATATGGTACAAATTTTACATATAAAAATATGTGGATCAATAGAAACTAAGGTAGGAACCAGGAGGCATACACTCTATCCCTCACTGAGGCACCAAGTATGACCTTAGACAGGTGACAACTTTCTCTTTACTATATATATACTCTTGAGTTCATTTGTCTCATTTTTAAGATGAAGATGTTTAGACCAGAGTATTTCAGAAGTCTCCTCAATCTTTTCAATAGCTAGCTTGAAATTAAAAATACATCTATTTTATTTTGTAGGGTCATACTTGCATGCAATGATAAGTAGACAATTTTTAGAACATTTCAGTATATGAATTTATAATGAAGTAAATAGCTCCAAAATACAAAATTAGAGTGTTCAATTAAAATACACATCAAGTAGGGCACGTGGGTGGCTCAATCACTTAAGCGTTCAACTTTGGCTCAGGTCATGATCTCACATTTCATGAGTTTGAGCCCCACGTTGGGCTCTGTGCTGATAGTTCAGAGCCTGGAGCCTGTTTCAGATTCTGTGTCTCCCTATCTCTCCGCCCCTCCCTCCCTCATGTGCATACAGGTTCTCTCTCTCTCTACCTCTCTCTCTCCCTCTCAAAAAATGAATAAACATTAAAAAAATTTTAAATACAAATCAAATAAGAAGAAATGTACTATGTGTTTCCTCAGAAAGTTATTAGGCAGCCAATTTTAAGAACTGAAGAGAAAAAAATGCAACAATTGAAAATGTCATGCTATACTTCTTTTTCCGGTTTAAACTTATCTAACTTATCTAGCTTTGTATTCTTTTTGCTCAGTAAGAAAAATAACCCGAGTAGTTGAAACTCTGCCAAGAATTGTTATAAGCTGAATATTTTTAACCTACAGTTTTCATTTTTTTATTTAAAAAAATCGTCCTTTCTCAATACTGAAAGCATAGAAATAATGAGAAGCTAAAAAGAAAAGAAGATATTTATTCTATTCTCCAGTTAACTCCTATTATCCCCTCTTAATATTTTTATGTGATGCCTCAAAAGAGACCTTTACACCCTCTGACAGGATTTTAAGAGTGCCTAACCATGCAGCTGCCCTTACTGTGGTTTAATGATGGAAAATGGTTTCATATTTTAAAGTTATTTCATTATCAAAGAGTAACAGTATGTCAAAATTGAAACCGTCATAAAAAAATTTAACTTTAGTTTCTAGTTATCAGAGAAATCTGCAAGAACAAAATCTCCTTAAAAAAAAACAATAAAGTTAAATAATATTCCCCCAAGTCTTACTAACCTATAAACACAAATGAAATATCATTAAAGGTAGTACTTCGCACATTGCTCTTACCTGTCTCTTATGGGGCTTATAGTAGAACCAGAAAGTTTTTCAGAATTATTTATAAATGAAATTTACCTTGAATTACTATTAATGTCCAAAGAGAAGATTGGAAAAATTTCTCTCCTATTCTTTTATTCCTATCCTGGCAACCAAACCACATGTGGGTGGTGCCTTGCCTGTCCCTGCTCCTGCCCTTTACGAGATTTGGTTCTAGACCCAGGCCCTCTTGATCCAAACAGGCTTCTGTCTTCTGAAGAATGTCTTCTGAAACAGACACCAAACCCTACTTGTAGCAAACTCTCTTCCATAGTCTGCAACATCTGGCTGCAGAGAGACAGATACCATTCTATCCTGTTTCTCTTCTTTTCCTTGGGTACTGTTACCATCAATACAACTCCCTTGGTCTCCTTCAGCCAAATCCATACCTTTCATGCAATATAGGTCATTTGCCCAAATGGTTTGAGTTCTATTAGAATGCCTGCTCACACATGCCACATGTATATACCAAAATAACTATTTTCACAAGCTTCATAAAGTCTAGATGTCACTGAGTGACCCTATCTTAGCTCTGTGGCATAACATGATACAGAAAAGGGATATTAAGTGACATGCCAGTGCATCACGCTCTGTTTGCAGTTCATTCAGTTCTTATATGTAGGATATATTTTTAAACTCTACTTGACCTTAAAAGATAAGCTAGAAAAGCCTGTCTGTTCTGACCTCTAATGTTCCAATACCAGTTATTGTGTGCACTTGTCACTCATCTTAATATGAAACTTCAGGCAGCAAATGGCAGTATTTTCACACCAGTGCTAGAGTTTAGCAGGGGAAAAAAATGATGAAAGAAGGAAAGATAGAAAGGAAGAGAGAGGGAGGAAAAGAGAGACAGAAAGACACACAGAGAGAGAAGCAAACCTAACTGCCTCAGTACTAACATATGTATTATCTAACAGAAAAAAAATGGTTTCATCATAATCAATTGGGACATGTTTTCACTAGTTTTTAGTGGTGAAAGCCCAAATATATATGTTCATTGAATAACTATGGTTTCATGGTTTGTTTCCCTGACTGACAAAACTTAACTTTATTATTTAACTGTTTGTTTGCTTACTGTTATGCTGGGGAGATTTAGGAATGAGTAAAAACAATTATAAATAATGTTGATAACACTTCCTTCCATATATACACGGGTGTTTAACTCTTATTATACTTTGGTGTAGACCAAAATACTTTGTATCAGAATCAAAAAAAAAAGTCTTCTTGATTATGATTGTGTAAAATGGCTTTGGGAAAAGGTTTGACTTTCATTATCTTTAAATGCATTTATTAAGGTATGTTTTACTTGTACTAATTATACTGAGCTAATGTAAAGTAACTGTATAGGAACACTATAGTACCTTACTTTTCCTTCTTCTTTAGCAAGTATTGTTTAAATGACATTTATACAGTTTTTCTGTCACAGAAACCTTTCCATTTGGCTTTTAACGGCCAAGCATTTAACAGAGGATATGTTTTTACAAAGGATAGTCTAAAACGGGATGTTTTTGGAAAGGTCAAAAGTGCGCATTTCCTTTTTTTTTTTTCAGTTAATTTTTGCTTCTTTGCAGATCAACAAGACACTGTTAATCTGATTGTTTCTCATTCTGTAGATCTTTAAGCAAGCGACTATGAAAGCATTGAGGAGAAAATCTGTTTTGCTAACTGGTTATCTGGAATACATGATCAAGCATTACTGTAACAAAGATAAAGCAGATACCAAGAGACCATTTGTGAACATAATTACTCCATCCTGCATAGAGGATCGTGGCTGCCAGCTAACACTAACCTTTTCTATTCCAATAAAATATGTATTCCAAGAACTAGAAAAACGAGGAGTGGTTGTAAGTATACCTCTTGCTTTGCTACCAGGTTTTCTCTCTGGGTGGCACGTTGGGGTTCTTTGGTTAATTCACTGTTGCATGTTATTTCATGAGTCAGTTTGAGAGGATAGATTATGTGTCAGCTAAGCATGTGTCACTGTGTTAATTGAAGGGCATAGAGATCTGTCATTTCTGATAAAAGGGATAAAAGGGAAGAAACCACAAATTTTGGATGAGGAACCAGCCTTCCATAATTTATTCATTCTTTTTATTACAGTTTGAGCAGGAAAAAAAAATGGTTTCATCATAATCAATCAGGACATGTTTTCCCTAGTTTTTAGTAGTGAAAGCCCAAATCATATATGTTCGTTGAATAACTAGAATTACAGAACATAATATGGTGGAAGAGGAGGAAAAAAATCAGTCTTATTTAGTTGTTTGATTGAGCCAAGTCATTTTCAAACCTGTCATTTTAGTAAGAAGAGAGCTGTAAACACATCTCAGGGATGTTAACATTGTGTGAAATATCTTTTTTTTTGAAACGCTTGGACCTAAGTGGTCATTCTATTCTCTTGAAGAAAATAAATGTTAATAGGGTGATTTCAGGAAAAATGGTGGTCGTGTATCTATTTCCAGTAACCATGTAATTTAGGAATTGCTCCACTCATGTCGTCCTCTCTCTCTCTCTCTTTTTTTTTTTAAAAAAGAGCATGAGTTGGGGCAGAGGGAGAGAGAGAATTTTAAGCAAGCTCCATGCTCAACATGGAGCCTAGCCTGATGCAGGGTTTGATACCATGACCCTGGGATCATGACTTGAGCTGAAATCAAGAGTCAGACACTCAACTGACTGAGAAACCCAGGTGTCCTGGTCCACAAACTCTTGAGGAGAGGTTATCTCAGATTCCAGAGGCACAAATCCATATGTTAGTGTTCCAAGTCAATTTCTACCATTTGTAAGCTGTGTGCTCCTGGAAAGTTTGCTCACATCTACTGGCTTGAGTTTTCTCATCTGGATTTTGGGTGCAAATTACTTGTCTCCAAAATTTGTTATGGGATTAAATAGTCCAGCACAAATAAACAATTTATTGTATTGTCTAACCCATAGTGAGGGTTTCTTAAATATTAATAATAGTGATCTTCAGGCTAGACCAAATTATCTGGGTCCATTTCATGACATTTCAGGGATACAGCCAATTCTTTACCTGTGAGATTAAGGATTAGAGGATTATGTAAATATAATTGACTAAAACTCTCTAGGTGTCAAAGAGGTTATCATTCATTTCTTTTTTTCATTTTTATTTATGTATTTTTGATTTTAAAGAGAAAGTGAGAGAGAGCACAAGTGGGGGAGGGAGGCAGGGGGTGGTGGGAATTGAATGTTAAGCAGGGTCCATGCTCAGCAGGGAGCACAATGAGGGGCTCAATCCCAAAACCCTAGGATCGTGACCTGAGCCAAAATCAAGAGTCAGATGCTCAACTGACTGAGCCGCCTAGCACCCCATTTTATTTATCTACTTTTATTTTTAAGGTTCTCATTTATTCTTTTATTTTTTTTTTTATTTTTTAAGTTTTTTATTTATTTTGAGAGAGAGTGAGAGCACAAGGGGAAAGGGCAGAGAGGAGAAACAGAATCCTAAGAGCCTGCGCAGAGCCCAATGTGGGGCTGGAACTCACGAACCGTGAGATCATGACCCAAGCCAAGATCAAGAGTAGGACACTTAGCCGACTGTGCCACCCAAGTGCCCCTAAAGTTCCCATTCATGTAAATGTGCTCAAGGGTTCCAGGCTCTTAGAGTCTCCCCACAGATAAATTGCATACATGACTTACTGGATGCTTCAAGAGGATGAATGCTGAAGGAATGCACTTTGGTGGGATCCTCATGATTTTCACTTATATTTTAACTATTATTAAGAGGACAGTTCAAATAACACAGAAACATTGTATTTTACTAAAATTAACAAAAGGCTTATATATTAAGTTTTAGGGAAATTGGCATGATTGCTTTATGCAGTTTTATCTTGAATGTAGATTTTCATTATGTGAAAAGTGCTAACATTCCTGTGGCTTTATTTTCTCCACCACAGTGTGACAAACGGGATCCAGATGGCATCCGAGTGGCTCCAGTTCCTCTCTACAACTCTTTTCATGATGTTTATAAGTTTATCAATCTACTTGCTTCTGCACTTGACTCTGCAGAAACCAAAAATACCAGTGTTCTCTAGAACAACTTAAGTAGTACTAAGAGCTACTATATTTTATTATTTTTGTTCTTATTTTAATAATTGGAAATTTTTTCAAAACCAATTGCACATAACTGGCAATGAATCATTTAGTTTACAGAAAGATCTGATATATTTTCTCTAAATGTCTGGGGTTCTGAGGTATCCACATGTCTGTTCAATTTCTCCATGTGTGGTGGATCAAAGTTTTCATTGGTCCAAGTATTATGTATACAGTCTTAGCTAGCTGTCACATTTCATGGTCAGTGAATGTTTTATGCTGATTTAATTTATAATTTGACTGACAACTTCATAATATATGTGCAATTTTTTGTGTCAATTTTAGAAATGTCGCTTTAGTTTTAATTTACCAAAGAGGTTCTTATAGTCATTGTAATTTCGCAGTCTGATATATGTATGATTTTGCAGTATTCCATCCAACTCTAATCTAAAGAACAGAAAATACATTTTCTAGGGTAGTAGCTTTCAAATATTTTGACCACAGTCCACACTAAGAAATATGTTTAATATCAGATACCAGTATTTATATGTGTTTATGTCTTATTTTATTGATTCTAATATACAAACTTTTATCATATTTCAACATCTGTGAAAGAAGAATTTTTTCAATTTTCAACCAATGATTCTTACATTGCTACTGACCACTCTTTCATGTTACCATCCTTGACATTAGCACGCTTCTCACAATTAATAGATAGCATCTTAGATATGATATTTTTTAATGGTATATATACCAAAAGCAAAAGTTTCATAAATCATTAGTGCTCTGCTATTTATTATTCATTTTATCTCATCACATCAAATTCTGGTTGAAACTCATTGAACCTATTTGCCCACCGACTCTTGGATCCTAATTCATTTTTCAAGGTTGTCCCTTTTTTTAATGTTATCACTATTGCTTTTTTGTTTGTTTGTTTTAATGGGAACCTCTCTTAATAGAAGGCTATTTTTTAAAGAGTTTATTTATTTATTTTGAGAGAAAGAGATAGACAGTGTGAGTGGAGGAGGGGCAGAGAGAGCGAGCAAGGGAGAGACTCCCAAGCAGGCTCCACACTGTCAGCTCAGCTCCTGATGTGGGGATCGATCTCCCAAACAAGGAGATCATGACCTGAGCCAAAATCAAGAGTCAGGACACTTAATGGACCAAGCCACCCAGGTCAACCCTCCACCCCCCATAGAAAATGTTACTCTGTCTCTGAAACAGTGAAATAAATCACCCCAAGATATTGGCAGTTGAGAATTAGAATTAGCAAATGAGAGCTTCATCTCTCAACCTCTAACCCAAATCTATGGCCCTTTCTTTCCTCCAGGAAAACTACAGTTACACTCAGCCCTGTTGGACTTCCCTGGTTTTCAGTTGTTGATACTGCAACCACTACTCATGAATTGGCAAAACAGTCTACATTTATATACACGGGCAGCAAGAAAGAGTGACTGCAATGTAATCATTGTCCCTGATGAACAAATTTGAATGGAAATAACTTACACAACCGCTAGAGTTAAATAAAAAGATGCAGGACAGACACCAATGCCAGCAACTATTGATATTTATTGAATAGTCACCACGTACCATGTATTGTGCTAATCTAGTTATACATTATCTTACTTATTTGAGTGGTTGCATAACTGCTTTAGCAAAGCTGCCGCCTCCAACTTTTGGCAAAACTCATCTTTGTGGATGGAAAAGTTCTCAAAACCCTAAAATTCGACTATATACAACTTCATGTAGGAGAAATCGTTTTGAAGCTCACAGATGTAAGCAAAACAGACATGGTTTCAGCTCTCAGGGAGCATGTAGCTTAGTGGGAGAAATGGGTAGTAAATATATAAACACCCAAATAAACATATGATTACAAACTGTAAGTTTTATGAAAGAAAAACAGATGATACTGTAAGAAAAATCTCAAGGGTATTAATTAGATGGTCAAGTAAGGGGAGGTATATGGTAGTGCTTATAACTTTAAATTCTAAAATATCAGGCTAATCACATTAAAATTGCATCAAGTTATACATACAAACCATTTAAAGCATACTCAGCACTATGTCATGCGGGTTAAGAAACAAAGCATTAGACATTCCCTTTCTCCCTGCTTGCATTCCCATTTCTCCCCAAATCCAGATATAACCATCAAATCATATTTTGTGTTAACCATTTCCTTACTTCCATTGAAGTATTACACCTATGTACGCACCATAAAATATACATTAGCTGATTTTGCCCGTGTGTGAACTTCATGTAAATTTAATTGTGTTGTTTATATTCTGCCTCCTTTGCTCAGTGTCAGGTTTTTGAGATTTATCCATTTTCATCCATTTTCATTGCTGCTCAGTGTTCTCGTATATATTTGGGGTTATTAGTTTATTCTACTACTAGTGAACATTTGAATTCTTCCCAATATCTTTAATATTGCAACAATGCCGCTACTAACATTCTTGGTACACAGATTCAAAAGTTTGCCCAGGACATAATAACTGTGAAAACGTCAGGTCAAAGGACCCACACCTGTTCAACTTCACTAAGAAGTAGCAAACTCTTTTCCAAACTAGTTGTACCAGTTTCCATTGCAACCAATAGGAAATGGGAGATCTCATCTCTCAATCCTTGCCGATAGTAGCTGTTGATTGATTGCCTTTGTTACATATGCAGACTTACATAGCCAGGGTGATTACTAAAATAACAGAAAGAATGTTATTCAGTAGAACAGAATGAATGTTCTACTTCAACACAAGTAGAAGGAGAAACAGAATGAGGAGATACACATACACTGCTGTTTATGCTTCAGAAACCATCCTTAATCTATGGATTGAGACAAGACTAGAGTATTACCTGACTTTTACCCTTGCTCAGCCCTTTCCCTCCCCATATTCCCTCTTTCATAGTTTTTTCTGATGAGCATTCTTTCAAAAAAAACATATTAATTCAAACATTGCTCTTTATTTCTAGGAAACCCAATTTAACAAAGCATTGCCTTCATCTAGTGCTAATAACCATAAGCCTTTTATAGTCCTATATTCAATGTCTGATAAATTTCAGTTCTGTTTCTGTTGTTTTTCACAAATAATACTTGTTTCCTTGTGTATATTGTGCTTGTTAACTTTAAACTACTCATTTATATTGACTCCTTTGGAATTCTTTGAGAACTGTGTTAAAAGTCTTTCCAAAGATATTCATTTTTGGTTCTGCCAATTTCTCAGGGTCATTTCTGACACCAACACTTAAAATTTTTGTTTTCAGGTTTTTCAGATCACATGGATAGTATGAAATTGGATGTATTAATCCTTTTGAGGGACGATTTATAGTTACAAACTCTCTGAAGATACTAATTTTTCTTGCTGACCTTTTACATGTTGTTTGGTTGCCAGCATTTTAGAGGGCTCTTCCATCAGTTTATTTATGTGGTCGGTTCTAAACTTGTTCAATGTCCCATTTAGTTATCAGCATTGAAGCTCAATCACTCTAGGATGTGGCAGACACTTGTAGGATGCAACACATACTTTTACTTTCTAGGTTTCTGCTTTTATTTTATTTTGAGGTTTTTAAGTTTTCTTACTTTCATGCCATCTCATTTTAAAAGGCTTTTTTTTTGCCATTGATTTTTATTTGTGTTTTCAATAATTTAATCCCCCACGATATGCTCTAAACTGTCATGAAATGTTCTATGACCAAAAAGGAAAAATATTATGCACTTTCTGTTTTCTCCATAGAAAGTGAATTGTGCTTCTTTTTTTTTTTTTAATTTTTTTTTCAACGTTTATTTATTTTTGGGACAGAGAGAGACAGAGCATGAACGGGGGAGGGGCAGAGAGAGAGGGAGACACAGAATCGGAAGCAGGCTCCAGGCTCCGAGCCATCAGCCCAGAGCCAGACGCGGGGCTCGAACTCCCGGACCGCGAGATCGTGACCTGGCTGAAGTCGGACGCTTAACCGTCTGCGCCACCCAGGCGCCCCGAATTGTGCTTCTTAATAACTCATGCACATTTATATAAATACAATTCTTTTACAGTGATGCCCTGGGGAGTTATTGTACTACATAGAGCTGTTTGTGTAGCACTAAATTATACTTATTATACAAAACTGACTGTGGAAAAGGCTGGGTGTGAGGTCAACAACTAAATTTCAAATTAAAGAAGTAAACTTTTTCTACAGTTATTTTTTTCTCAGTAACTTTCTACTTACTGTTGTGTTCAAAATTATGTGAGTTTATATTCAAATTGTGCTATGCGTTTTTTCCATAAATTGAAATTGCTAGAGCATTGATTTTGAAGTAAATGGGTTTTTGCATCATCTAAAGAAGGAAACCTGCAAACACCCTGAAAGCATCATATTATAAAGCACAACATTGGAAATCACTGGATTAAGGCATCCTGTAATTAAACTGATGGTTTTGATGCTTATGTGGGTCATTAGCATCTGTATTCCGTGTTTTCAAAATGTCAAATTTGTTTCCTGCCCTCTAGTAGCATTGTATTTTAATCTCAGCAAGATGTATTTTCTTATTTTTTTTTTTTTAACATTTTAATTCATTTTTGAGAGACAGAGAGAGAACACTAGCGGAGTAAGGGCACAGACAGAGGGAGACACAGAATCTGATTCAGGCTCCAGGCTCTGAGCTGTCAGCACAGAGCCTGACATGGGGGCTAGAACTCATGAACTGCAAGATTATGACCTGAGCTGAAGTTGGACGCTTAACCGACTGGGTCACCCAGGTGTACCAAGATGTATTTTCTTTCTTTTTTTTTTTTTATTTATATATGAAATTTATTGTCAAATTGGTTTCCATACAACACCCAGTGCTCATCCCAAAAGGTGCCCTCCTCAATACCCATCACCCACCCTCTCCTCCCTCCCACCCCCCATCAACCAAGATGTATTTTCAAAGGACAAAATAATAAAGAGGATTATTATGAACAAATTAATTTAAACATTTATGATGTGTTTTGATTTATTGCAATAGTTTTCTTATTAATGCTCTTGTTTTCCAATTTTTGACTAATCAATATGACTCCTGAGTTCTTTTGATATTACCTTAATTGTTTTTTTGATATTTTTATTGCTTTTGGTGTGCAAAGATGCAGGCTTACTTTGTATATTTCCTACCTCAACCTTGACATCACTTATTTCTCTAAGAATATCCAGTTCCTTTGGAGGAAATGGTATTTAGTAGCCATAATCTTAACAGTTAGAGTGCTCATTATAGTCTAGTTAATCATAGTTTCCAGGATTTTCAGTTGACAGAGTTACATAGCTTTAAGAGAAATTATATCTTTATTTCATATTCATATTTTACATTCAATATAAGAAAAATATTTTTTATTTAACTTAAATTTATATTTTTATCTCTTAATGTAGAACATTTTGGTTCTATAATATTAATTACTAGTGTTATATGTAATATATACTATAATTATCATATGTATATGTACATAGTCTTAGAATTAATAATAACAAATTATGAACATTATTAAAGCATTTTAAGTACTTTGAAGCTTTTTTTTTTTAAATATCTTAGCCTACATCTCACCAGGAATAGTAATTCAAATTCCTGTGTTTTAAATGTGTATTATTTTTTGAGACAGAGAGCA